CAAAGATGTGGAAGCAGACAGCACGTTTGGGGGACAGTCAGGAGTCCACTGGAGCCACCAGGAGGTAAGGCTAGAGAGGTGATCAGGGTGAGCTCTTGAAGGGTCTTGAATGGCTCATGAAGGGATTCAGGCGTTATCATGTAGGCACTGGAGAGTCATGGAGGGTTTCGGAGCTAGAAAGGCTCATGACTGTGATTGGGTCTAGAAGGTGTTACTCGGCTGGTCAGAGAGAGTATTGATCTGGGAAGGATGGGACCAAGGAAAGGAAAATTTGAGGTGTACTGAAGGGCTGCAAATCAGAGTATGTTCTAAAGAGAGCACCAGGATGATGGTCAAAATTGTATCCTAAGAGCAACTGGGAACCTTCAGACTACAGAAGAGAGAACCTGAGGACAACACAATAGCTGTACTTCTCCAGAATCCCTCTTGACCCCAAATCCTGCCTTATCCATGGAAGAGCTGGATGACCTTGGACAAATCAGTCAGTACCTCTGAGTTTCAGATTCCTCCTTGGCAGGATAGGGATGTTTGGGGCTTCAAGTGGCAGAAAACCCAACTCAAACTATCTTAAGTGAATAATGCATGTTATGACTCATGAAATTGTGGAGCAGAGAGAGTGAGTTACTTTCTGGAAAGATTCATTAGCCCAATTTTTCCATCTTTCCCCTCTACTTTCTGCAAAGTTCAGCTTCCCCTGAGGCTGACTTGTCTTGTGGTCCCACAAAAGTTGCCCCCAGCTCCAGGCCTACAGCATAGCTAGTTCCTAGAAAAAACGTCCTTATCCCAAGAAAAGTCCTGAGAGTCCCTCTGATTGGACCAGCCAAGGCCATGTGCCTACCCCTGAACCAATCACTGAAGCCAAAGGAAGGGTATGTGCTGATTGACTTGGCCTCAGTCACCTGCTTCACCTCTGGAGCCAGGAGACAGAGGTATCTTCCATAGGACCACATAGATGCCCTTTGATAAAGCAAGGCTGCTGCATAGGGTGGGAAGGAAGAGAATGCTGGGAGGCACCATTGCAGGTTTGCCAAGGATCAGTGGTACCTCTGAGTAGGGTCATTGTGGGGATTAGAGATAAAGGCATCTAGCACATAGTAGGTGCTCCTTAAAAACCAATTACTCTTTTTATTGGGTAGAGGTCATCATGAAAAAAAGGAATAAGATTTAGTTTGTGGTTTCTACATGTGTATTTCTATGTGCTGTAAGAATGTCTGGGTGTATAGTAGAGCTGACAATGGGCAAGGTTGTGGTGGCTTCTTGGCCACAGATAGCTTACCTGGAGGGAGCATGTAGTTGGACCTGTGGGCCTGGGACCATGGTTCCAGGTGACATAAAGCTCAATTGGCATAATACTACACAAAAACATTGCTCTACATCCTACTTTGGTGAGTAGTGACTGGGGTCTTAAAAGCTTGCAAGCAACCATCAGGATACGATGGGTCTCTCCTTGTCCAGAGCAAAGAAGAATGAAGAAAACAAAAGATCCATGGAAACAATTAGTCCATGGGACTGGTACACCATGTGATCCTAAGCCTATATGACCATGAGACCAGAAGAACTAGATGGTGCCCAGCTACCACAGTCAACCACTCGGAGGGGGATCGGTGCAGGAGATGGTGGATAGAGTGGGAGAACAATGTGGAACAAAACTCAAAATCAATTAAAAAAAAAAAGACCAGTTTTGCTGGTCTGATAGAGCCTGGTGAGCCCCTGAGACTATGGCTCCTAGTCACCCTTCAGTTCTAGAATTGAACTCACTCCTGTGGCTTCCAGCCAGACAACAGACAGGCATATGGGGTGAACATTCACATCAGATAGATATACTCCTTGGAGTGATCAATTGTGGAAGAACCAAAGGGCAGCATTTTCACAGGGAGACAACTTGAGGGGCAGGAGTGCATGGGAGGGAAGGATACAGGGAAGAGGTAAATATGGGGAGGAAGTGGGAAGAGAGCTGTGACCCTGTGGGGAATTGCAGTCAATGTCATAAAACAAAATGTGTATGAACTGCTGTATGGAAAATGAATTTGTTCTGTAAACTTTCACCCAAATCACAATAAAAATTAAAAAAAAAGATTTAGTTTGTGGTCCCAAAGGATAAAACTAGGGTTCATAAACAGAAATTTTAGGGAGTCAGGCTTTGATTCAATCTAAACCATTTTCTAATAACTGGGGCTGTCCTCAATGAGTCTCCAGTCACTGGAGCAAAACAAGAAAGGATTAAAAACTACTATAGAAGGAGGTAAGGCATCTGGTGGTATAATATTTAAGGCATTTGGCTGCTAACCAAAAGGTTGGTGGTTCAAACCCAACAGCTGCTCCGTGGAAGAAAGATGAGCCAATCTGCCTCCATACAGATTTACATACAGCCTTAGAAACCCAGTGGGGGTCGCTATGAGTCGGAATTGACTCAATGGCAGTGAGTTTGGTTTTTGGTTTTGTTATAGAAGATATGGAACACTTTGTTATACTGTGGTGACTTGTGTGTTGCTCTGATCCTGGAAACTGTGCTACCAGTATTTCAAACATTAGCAGGGTCACCCACTGTGAACAAGTTTCAGCAGAACTTACAGACTAATAAAACAGACAAGGAAGAAAGGCCTGGCAATCTACTACTGAAAATCAGCCAAAGAAAACTCTACAGATTATAATAGAGCATTGTCTGACTCGCTTTGGATGCATCATCAGGAAGGATCAACAGCTACAGAAGAACATCATATTTGGGGAGGTGGAGGGCCAGCAAGGGCAAGAGAGACCCTTGGTGAGACAGACTGGCATGAGAGCCACAACAATGGGCTGAACGATGCCAGTGATCATGAGGCTGATGCAGGACTGGACAACGTTTTCTGTCGTACATAAGGTCGCCATGAGTCAGAGGCAACTTCACAGCAGCTAACAACAACGTGGAAGGAGGTGTGGAGCAGATGCCCGCTGAGGTCAGTGAGATTCCAGGATTTTCTACTCTAATGGTGATCCATCAGGTTGAATCAGGAAAATGATGTCATTATCTTTGGGGGGTGGGGGAGAATTAAACCAAGGCGTCAGAAGCACGAAGGAAGAAAGAATTATGAGCTTAAAACTCCCTGAGGATCTGCCAATCTGGTTCCGGGGATGAGGGGGATGGGACACAGACACATTCAGAAACAGACCATGCAAGGCTGCTCTGTGAAAGCACAGGGCCAGGCCTGGGCAACTCCAGGAGCAAGTGCAGAGGACAGACGTGGGCAGGGCCTCTGAGGGATGTTCAGCAAAGATCTCCATGGGCTATCCTTGGGGCATCATCTCAACAGTCTCCAGCCCAGGAGGCCAGGTTAATGCTGAGTGCTGTGGGAAGAGGACCAAGCCAAAGGATGCTGGTCACAGCAGTGAGGGAGGGGCAAGCCAGCACGTGCATGAGACCCTGCCTCACTCAGCTGCCAATGGCAGTGGACAAAGTCCAGGTGCCTGGTCAGGGACCCCACATCTATGCCCAGCTGTTCATCTCAGTTTAGCTCTAACACCCAGCCACGTGCTCATCCCTGAACACCCTGGGCTTCCGTTCCATCATAGCTTTACTCCTGCTATTCCCTGGACACTGTCCCCACATACTCAAACTCTCTGCCTTTCAGAAACTTCTCTGTCCTTTAAGACTCTTTTCAAACGTCAGCTTCCCCTGAACTCTTTCCTGGTCACCTGGTCATATCCCTACAATCTGAAGCCCCCACCACACCCTAGGCACTAGTCTGAGGAGACGGAATCTCCCTGTGGTAACTGCAGATCCTCTGTGCTGGCTGTCCAGGAAGGACCATCTGGGTCTTACCTGATGGACAATGGTGGTTCTGGGCTATGAGGCTCAGACCAGTCATGTGTCCCTGGTAATTTCCATAACCTCTTGGAGCCTCCCCCTTTTTGCCCATCTGTTAAATAAAAACCAAACCAAACTCACTGCTGTCGAGTCGATTCAACTCATAGCGACCTCTCCTTGGGTTTCCGAGGTGGTATCTCTACAGAAGTCTTCCTTCTGAGGAGTGGCTGGTAGGTTTGAACCACCAACCTTCTGATTTGCAGTCAAATGTCTTAGGCACTGCGCCACAAAAATAGTGGCTGTCAAGTTGACTTAGACCCATGGTGACCCATGTGTGTCAGAGTAGCACTGTGCTCCATGGGGTTTTCAATGACTGATTTTTCAGTAGTAGATTGCCAGGGCTTTCTTCCAAGGCACTCCTGAGTGAACTGGAACCTCCAGCCTTTTGGTTAACTGCTGAGCACATTAACCACTCACACCACCCAGGGACTCTTTCCTCATTTTAGAGATGGGGAAATGTAGGCTCAGGAACAGTAATAATTGGACCAAGGTCACACATCTCAAGACTGACCATGCTGGTATTGAAGCTGTGGTCTTTCTTATTCCACAGCCTGTGTCCTTTCTCAGGAGGGGACCTCTGAAAACAAGAAGGAAATTCATTCACTTCGCCCAATGGAAATTTATTAACAAGCATTTACAAAGTGCCCACTAGGACCAGTCATCACATAAAGAGAACATAGAAGCCTGGGTCATGGCTCTGGGGAAATCAGGGAGATGAGATACAGACACATGAGATAGCTAATGACCTCCCCTTCCCACCATAACCCCAGTGCAGACAACCAGCGTGGCGTCCCTTAAATGAGCTGGAACCAACAGATACCTACTATGACCACAAGATGGCGTATGTAGGCTGCTAAATTGAACTTTGTCCTTGAAGACAATAGGTCACCTTGAGTTGTTTCATGAAATGGGGTGGTAGTGCCTGCCTGACAAGCAAAACAGGTCAATGGAAAGAGAAAAAGTGTGAGTGGTTTTAGATATCCATCACTAAGTAGGTGAAAACAGCTAGGATACAGAAAGTCTCTGAGATGCCACCTTAGAGATGAGGGTGAGATGCTAATAAAAGTCAGGGCTCCATCTGGGGTTAAACAAGCACGTCCCCCAGCCTCCACCCCCCAGTACTGAGGCCCTCTGTCCTGGACACCAATGGGCAGCGCTAGTCCCTCCTCATGGTGTAGCCCTGAATCATGCTGTTGAAGTAGGCCGGTGTGTTACGTTCTGGGTAGAAGAGGATCATGTAGCATTTGGGGCCAAAGTAGCCCAGGCTGATGGCCAGGAGGTTGAACACAGTGACCAACAGGTCCAGGATGGTGACCATCACACCCTGGTAGACAGACATGAAGGTGCAGAGGAAGACGAAGGAGATGAAGTAAAAGGTCATGCTCAGGGTGATGAACTTGGCTTCATTGTAGTTGGTGGGCAGCTCCTTACCCATGTAGGCAAAACTGAAGCCCACCACCGAGAGGACCGAATCCAGGCCAGTGTTGAGCAGCAGTCCACTGCGGTAGTTGGGATTGCAGGAGAGAATCATGATGTTGGGGTCGTCAGGGTCAGTGCGGATGGTGGGGATGGTGGTTGTGACCAGGACATTGCCTACCACGATGACCACCTTAAGTACAGTGATGACTGCCACAAAGACATAGGGCCCATGGTAGCGGACCCAGTAGCTGTAGGCCCAGGGGAGGCGATGGGCCATCTTGAAGATGCAGACGATCTGGAAAGAACGCACGGTGATGCAGGAGATGCAGATGGTGAAGCAGAGGGTGAAGAGGGCCTGGCGGCAGAGACAGGTGAGGGTTGTGGGCCGCCCCACATACACGGGTACCACCAGGTACGCCACCAGCAGTGGGGTCAGCATCAGGAAGCACATAGGCCCCCCAGCCGAGCGGACCATGGGTGTCTGGAAGTGTCTGCAGAAGACAACCAGGACGGCCAGGGTGCTGAGGAAGCCCAGGGAGGCCAGCACAGCCACAATGAGGGTGGGTGCCTCGTGCCATTCAAGGAAAGCCAGCCGCCGCTTGTAGCAGGAGATGTCATTCCTGTGGGACCACTCGTACTTTGGACAAGGCTGGCAATCAAATTCATCTGCAAAAGCCCATATCAACTCCCATCAGCCAAACCCAACTTCCAAGCACCCTGCACTGGGCCAAGTCCCCGGGGTGGAGAGAGACCTAAGGGGAACACTGCAGTCATTGCCAACATTCACTGAGTCCCTTACATCGAATGGCTCATCAAATCCCCACAGCTACACCATTTCACAGATGAGGTTACTGAAGTTCAGCCAGGTTAAGTCATTTGCCAAAAGTCACAAAGCCAGTAAATGATAGGGCAGGATTTGAACTGAAGCCCCTTTGACTCAAAGCCTAACAACTATAATCTCTCTTTTCCAAGATGTTATGCTTTGGTGGGAGAGACATTCAGCCATTTATTCAAAGAATTCATTCAATAACATTTTTGACACCATCCACTGTGGAAGGGCACAAAGAATGGAATAAAACCCAGCCCCTGGCTTCAAGCAATTGGGAGAAGAAGGTCAGTGAAATCACTGAACACCCTTTGGTTGAGCACCTACTCTGTGCCCTATATTCTGCCAGGCACGCAGTAAGTGCTTTCACTGGGAGACATACTCATGCACTTAATTTACAAATCAGTGAAACCATGAAAAGTGGAGCCATGAAAAAAAAATTAAATCCTGCTAAACACAAATGTGGACAGAGAGGTGACATTGATCCCACTTTCCTGGAGTTAATAGTCTGTAGGGAGGCACGTTCATTCTTCTAACCAAGGAAGTCATTCAACAAACATTCACTGAGCAACTGTGGGAGGCCAGAGAGATACATAGGATACTGTCTCCTGCTTATCTAAAACCTTCTTCCTGTTGGAAGGGCCATCCATTCACTCATTCATCATCCAGTGGTCATTTCTGACCTGACATCCCCAGGATATGTGTGTCTGTGGAGTGTAGCTCAGTTACAGTCTCTGCCTTTGGAGAATGTTGTCTTGCTCTCTCTCCCTCCCTCCCTCAACCAGCCTGTGTTGAGGAGTTTGCTCTAAACCAGTTACTGGGGAGATACAAGAGGAAGCAGACATGATCTCCAGCCTTTGGGCACTTGCATCCCCTGGAGGAGACCACCAGAGACCTTGCCAAAGGGGAAGTGCCCTGGAGACACCAGGGGTAGGGCAGGGGTAGGGGCAGGGCACTGTGAGTGGTACCTGATTGGTTGAGGAAGGAGCCAGGGAGGCAGTCGATGCATTCGAAACAGCAGGGGTGGAGGCCCACAGGCTTCTTCCTCTGTCCAGTCCGGCAGCTCTTGGAGCACATGGACAAGGGGATCTGCAGGGAAGAGAGTGAGATACCTTGAGCTCTCTTCTCCCACACTTAGCTGATGTCCCCACTCCCCAGTCTCCCCAGTCAGCAGGATGCTCAGGAGGAGTCACCACTAAAAGGAGACCTTTGTAGGACTCTTGTAGCTTTGCCTGCAAAGACCTAATCCACCTTCCTCTGGCAACAGAACCAAACTGTTGAATAAGACACTTTCTCAGGTTGCTAAGCACATAGGGGGCAGCCCTTGGGCCTGCTGATAGACCTCTTGCCTCCAGATGGGAGAACATGCACAAGGAAGGAGCTGAGAGATGTAGAGTGAGACCTTGGACCATCCTTGTCTAAAAGCTCATGGTCTACTCATAGAGTTTTCCATGACACAAGGAAATAAACTAACTCTTGCTTACATCACTTTCTTTATTATTATTATTGTGATTTGGGTGAAAGTTTATAGAGCAAATTCATTTTCCATACAGCAGTTCATACACATATTGTTTCATGACATTGACCGCAATCCCCACAATGTAACAGCTCTTTTTCCACTTCTTCCCTGTGATTACCTTTTCCCTGTGTCCTTCTTTCCTATGCATTCTTGGCCCCTGAGCTGTCTCCCTGTGCAAATACTGCCCTTCTGATCTCCCATGGTTGACTGTTCTAAGGAGTAACTACCTGGTATAAATGTTCACTTTATATGCCTCTCTATTGTTTGGCTGGAAGCCACAGGAGTGAGTTCAATTCCAAGTCTGAAGGGTGGCTAGTGCCTAGAGTCTCAGGGGTTTCACCAGTCCCTACCAGACCAGTAAGCCTGGTCTTTTTTATTACATTACTTTCTGTCACTTGCAACCAACAGTTCTAATGAACACAGCCTTTTTGGTGGGACCAGGTTTTTCAAGGGAATAAGAGTGGGTAGCCAGTGACCATGTCTGTTGTTTTTATGTTCTATTTCCAGAGTCAGAAACTCAAGGATGGGTCGCTATGAGTCAGGTCCGACTCGACGGCACATAACAACAATAACACAACATTTCCAGAGTCTAGAAAAGTACTCAGCACAGAGGAGACATCCAATATTCATTTGTTGAATGAATTAATTACAAAGAGAGGAAACAATACAAGCAATGGGAAAGCAGAATGGGGATATATCTGGGCCTGGCTGGAGTCAGGATGCACAGGCTATGGGGAGGAAAAGGGAGGCAAAGGTCACACCCCAAAGACTTAGTCTCTGAAATTATAAAAACATGGAGGCAGTAGGAGGCAATAGTGGTTCTTGAGTGGAATAGTAGCCTGATTAGATCTAGGTTATAGAAAAATAATTCTGATGACCAATTAGGAGGATGTCACAAGAGTACACATAAAAGGGCCAAAGGCCCAGACAAGGGGAGCCATAGTAGGTCCACTTTTACCCAGAGATGCACTCTTCTTGTCTCTCAGAGGTCTGCCTTCATGTTCCACCCCTCCAGTCTCTACTGTATATAGCTGTCAGATGATGTTTCCAGAAGTCTTGCTCTCCTCCCTGAAACTTCCTCATGGAAGAACTTTAGTGACTCTCCACCAGACAAAAGTAAAAGTCTGACTCCCTGCCAGGTTTCCCAGGCCCTTTGTGGTCTTCATTGCCTCTCAGATGACCACACACATGGGCAAGCATGGGAATACTAACCCACACATACCTTATCCAGACCTACACCCCACCCTCCCTTGCCATATATCCTACCCTCTTCCAAATTCATCTCTTCACTGTCCCCTGTTGCTGTGTTATTAGGTGCCATTGAGTCAGATCCAACTAGCAGTGAGCCTAGCCGCAATAGAAGGAAACACTGCCTGGTCCTGTGCCAGCCTCATAATCCTTGCTATACCTGAGCCTATCGTTGTAGCCACTGTGTCAGTCCATCTCATTGAGGATCTTTCCCTTTTTTGTTGACCTTCCAGTTTACCAAGCATGATATCCTTTTCCAGGGAATGGTCACTTCTGACAACATGACCAAAGTAGAGAGATGAAGTCTAGCCAGTCTCGGAGCATTCCAAGGCGCATTCCAGCTGCACTTCCTCCAGGACACATTTGTTCATTCTTCTGGCAGTCCATGGTACTTTCAGTATTCTTCACCAACCCCACAACTCAAAAGCATCAACTCTTCTTGGGTCTTCCTTATTCATTGTCCACCTTTCACATGCATATGAGACAAATGAAAAACCATGACTTGTGTTAGGCCCACCTTAGTCTTCAAAGAGTCATCTTTGCTCGTCAGCACTTTAAGAAGGTCTTTTGCAGCAGATTTGCCAAGTGAAATGTGTCATCTGATTTCTTGACTGCTGCTTCTATTGGTGTTAATTGTGGAACCAAGTAATATGATATCTCTGACAGCTTCAATCTTTTCTCCTTTTATCATTCTGCTGCTTATTGGTCCAGTCGTGAGGATTTTAGTTTTCTTTACATTGAGATGTAATCCATACTGCAGACTGTAGTCTTTAATCTTCATCAGTAAGTGCTTCAAGTCATCTTCACTTGCAGCAAGCAAGGTTATGTATTGCAGGTTGTTAATGGGCCTTCCTCTAATCCTGATGTCGTCCTCCTCTTCACATAGTCCAGCTTCTTGGATTATTTGCTCAGCATACAGATTAAATAAGTATGGTGAAAGGATACAACCCTAACACACTCCCTTCCTGGTTTTAAACCATGCAGTATCCCCTTGTTCTGTTCTAATGACAGCCTCCTGGTCTGTGTACAGGTTCCTCATGAGCACAATTAAATGTTCTGGAATTCCCAATCTTCTCAATGTCATCCACAATTTGTTATGAACCACACAATCAAGTATTTTTGCATAGTCAATAAAACACAAATAAACATCTTTCTAGTACTCCCTGCTTTCAGCCAAGATCCATCTGATATCCCTCATTCCACATCCTCTTCTGAATCCAGCTTGCACTTCTGGAAGCTCCCTGTCAATATACTGCTGCAACTGTTTTTGAATTATCTTCAGCAAGATTTTACTTGATATTAATGATATTGTTTGATAATTTCCACATTCTGTGGAATCACCTTTCTTTGGAATGGGTACAAACATAGATCTCTTGCAATCATTTTGCAGGTAACTGTCTTCCAAATTTCTTGGCATGGACAAATGAGTGCCTCCAGCATGGCATTCATTTGTTGAAATATCTCAATGAGTATTCCATCAATTCCTGGAGCCCTGTTCTTCACCAATTCCTTCAGTGCAGCTTTGACATTTTCCTTCAACACCATCAGTTCTTGATCATATGTTACCTCCTGAAATGGATGAACATCAACCAATTCTTTTTGATACAGTGACTCTTGAATTCCTTCCATCTTCTTTGGATATTTCCTGCATCATTCAATATTTTGCCCATAGAATCTTTTAATATTGGAACTTGTAGGTTGAATTTTTTTCTTTAGTTCATCAGCTTCAGAAATGTTGAATACTTCCCTTTTGGTTTTCTAACTCTAGGTCTTTGCACATTTCATTACGATAATTGATTTTGTCTTCTTGAGCTGCTCTAAGACTGCCTCTTACCTTTGCACTCTCACTCTGACATTCATTCATTCATTCATTCTAAAATTTATTGAGCACACACTGATGTCAGGCCTAGGGAATATCATGGTGACCCCAATGAGGCAAAGTCTCTGCTCTCTCATGGAATTAATATTTTCATGACGAAAGAGAGATAACAAACATATAGTTCTATAACATGACAAACCAAAACCAAACTCACTGCTATGGAGTCAAATCCAACTCATAGCCACCCCTCCTTGGGTTTCCGAGGCAGTATCACTATGGAAGTAGATTGCCCAACCTCCTTCCAATGAGTGGCTGGTGGGTTTGAACTGCTAGCCATATGGTTAGCAGTCAAATGGCATGAAAAAAATAAAACAGTACAACCAGGATGGAGGATGAAGGCAGGGAAGATTGTAGTTCTAAATGAGGTAGGCAGGGAAGGCCTCACTAGGCAGGTGACATTGGAACAAAGACTGAAGGCTGTGAGGAAGCAAGTTGTGAAGTTATCTGTACCAGAGGGAACAGCAAGTGCAAAGGCCCCAAGGTGGGTGAGACTTGGCATAATTGAGAAACAGCAAGGAGATCAGTGTAGCTCAAACAGAATGAGCAAGAGGGAGAGTGGTAGATGAGTTCAAAGAGGTGGAGTGACAATACTTGGGCATTTACCTTGAGTGAGAAGCTACTGGCGGGTTCTGAGTAGAGGAATGACAGGATCTGACTGTTGTAACAAGATTGCCCTGTTTTCTGTGTTGAGAATAGACTATGAGGGTCAAGGACAGAAGCAGGAGACCAGGTGTTACTGCAATAGTCTAGGTGAGAAAAGATGGTGGTTCAGACTAAAGAGAGAGCAGTGGAAGAGGTGAGAAGTGGTGAGATTCCAGATTATGTTGGATATAGATTGGACAGGGTTTGCTGTTGGATTGGATGAGAATCAGGCAAGGATAACACCAGTGGTTTCGGCCTAAGCAATTTGAAGGATGCCTTTTACTGAGATGGGCAATACCTCAGGGGAGCAGGTTTAAGGAGGCAGGTGGAGATTTGAATTGAAGTTCAAAGGATAAGTCCACTATGAAGATAGAAATTTGGGGATTTTTAAGTATATGGATGATATTCAAAGTCACAGACATAGAAGAGTAAAAGCACAATGACTGGGCCTTGGTACCTTCCAGTATTTAAAGGTCAGGGAGATGAAGAGGAACCATGAATGGAGACCCCGGAGCAGTTATGGTCTGAGAGAAAGGTCCAGAATCCAAGTAAAGATAATTCTTTTCAAAAGAAGAAGTAGTCAACATGTGTAATGCTGCTTTCAGGTTGACTAGGATGATGACCATTGGATTGGCAACACACACATTGGTGAACTTGACTAAATCAATTTCAGAAGAGTGGTGTGAATGAGAGCCTCACTGGAGTGGGTTCAAGGAGACTGGGGACTTCCACCTTAAGGTGGCAGCTACCCCTCTTTTTTGCTTCCTTCTGAAATCCCAACAAAATTATAACAAAGGGAGA